TATATATATATATATTACAGAAAGTCAGTAAATAAAATGTTACTGATTTGAACTCATTCTATAGAAATCTGAATTATGTTCAATGATAACATTATTGGTAAGAAAGTCTCTTCCTTAACTGCACTGAAGCCTGTGTTTTAGTGAACATTAGACAGCACTGTAAAAGAGACATCAAAACAACATCCAGTTTTGGCCTGGTATTAGTCACACTGTGGGGATCCAACAAAAGCAAGTCCCCAAAACTGGAATCATTACATCTGAGAGTGATGACTTGGTTTAATGTGAAGATGAGAGTGATGCAGACTAGTTTGAAAAACATCCATTTCTTTAGTTGCACAGAAACTATAATAAAATTTTATGTGTAACTTTCTCAAACAGCCATCTGAGGAACTGTTTTTATTGCTCTATAGGCTGTTAAAGATGTGAAATGTAAAACACAGTACATGATGTTACCTGAAGGGACAAAAGCCATTAATAGGGTCATCTGACCTAATCGAAAGAGGCACAGGAATGCATGGTAAAAATAAATATATGTAAGTTTAACCTAAAATTAATAGCTCTATGTCTCAATTCTTCAGAACTGATTTCAAGCAGATGTGTGTATGAGCTTTAAGCAACCTCTGACATCTCTGAAGATGAGACAGTTTCAAGGACATAAAGGGAGTGCACAAGCTGAAACAAGCCTATTTCATCACGATGTATATATGCCAGCCTCATCTTCTCACAGTTTTATCTACTTCCAGTGTGGCCACTGATAGTGTTATGAAAACAGCTTAGTCAGGTGACACAGCATCTGGTAATCTGAACCTGTGCCACACTGAAAACTGAGTAGGCATTCACGGGGGTACCTGAGACAGTGAGCAGAGATCATATTGTGCTGCAGTGTTAATCAACAGGAAGATCAAAGCTGTCATTCTGTTACTACAGAGCTGGTTCAACTGCAGTTTGACTGTCATTCAAGAGTAGAGCTCGCAAGAGATTATCTATCTCGTCTGCCCTGGGAATGCCTCGGGATCCCCCAGGAGGAGCTGGGGGAGGACATCTTAAATATTTTCTACTGGTATTTTCATATACTGAAGGGCAGAGTGATTTGAGCAGTGACTGGTTGAAGGAATTCATTCTAAAAAGGACAGTGCCCCCTAGCAATGAGCATGAGAGTGGTTTGTTTCACTTAAAACACCTGAAAATGCCACACAGGCATCGACTCCCCAGGAAAACAAGCAACCCCACCCTTACAGAGCTATATGGCAGAAGGTGTCAGGAGCTACTCTATTTTTGTGGTATGGTTTCACACACCATCCTGACAGCCTGCTCTCAGGTTTTCCTCAGTTCTTCTCAGAAAATGCAGAATGCATCTTCAAAAACACTAGCATTCCCACTGAAGTAATATCTGGTGAAACATGCCAGGAGAGAGCATATGAAAACAGCCAAATATGGTCTGGCAGAAATAATGCACAGCATGGTAGCTGGTAGCTGACACCCGAAGATTCAGCACAAGCAGACTGTTGAAGATTATCTCACTACTATCAAGCATTCCACTTATATGACTGGACAGCTGGTGACATGCTACATAAAGACTGTGGCAGAGAATAGATACCAAATTATATGACACTGTGAAATCAGCAGAATGTACACAATACACCAGTGTACTGTATGTCCATGACTGCTAAATGGTTAATTCCCTAATTACAGTTGCCTGATTATCATAAACACTGACAAATTTATATTTAGCATATTGAATCATTAATGCTCAAAAAATAAAAACATCATTACTGACTGATCAGCTGGTGTTATATGAAATTACACTGATCAGCCACAACATGAATGAATAACTGATAAACTGATTCACAGAGGATGCACAGTGAGCTGCAGAGTGACATGAGTGACTCCTGCATACACAGAATTAAGCAGGTGATCATAATGTTAGGGCCGATCGGTGTATATGAGCACTGCTATACACAACGCTGTGACAAAAACAACAGCACAGAAAACAGGAAGTCACCTGGTTTAACTGGACAGTTCAGCAAAGCCCAGACACAGTGAAGCATTATCTAAACATGTGCCCTCCCACAGATTTAAAGAGAGATTTACCATGTAACCATAAAGCCACAACTAAGACTGAAGCTGTCAAGTCAGGGGGATACTGAAAGGTTTTAAAAATCTGGCCTCTCAAATACAACTCTCCACTTTCAGCCTGTAATTAAGTAAATAAAGAAAAACAAATTCTAACCATGAAATTGTGCACTAGGACAGGATGGCTGTGGAATAGCTGTGTCAAGCTTCAAATATTTAAAGACAAATGCCATTGTCAGGATACTTCTCAGTTCTCAACCACTTTGACCTTTTAATATTGATCTTCCTTCATTCAGAACATTCGTTCAGATCATTTCACCAGTTAGTTCTTTGTGACACTGCACTACAGTAACTGTGACAAAACTAAGTCCTATCTTCTGTATGGTCAGGTACTGCTGTATACAAAAATAAAGACATTTGAGTCCTATTTTCACAACATAACCAGAGATCGTGGTGTCATTAAGCTGCAGGACACTTAACTGTTCAATATCCTGTAGTGTTAGTGTGCAATTTTGCATCTTAAAGGCAGAAAATAATTTGCAGGCAAGTATTTGTGAGTGCAAAGGTTGGGTTTAATTATCACACCGATTCTTTTGGACTCTACAGAAACAGAGGACCTCCCCATTTCTACATTATTTAATGTACAAACACTTTACAGAATGTACACACTGATTCAAGTGACAACATATTTTTGATGACAAATTATATAGCAATTTAAAACAAATTTTATATACAAGAAAAAAAAATCTGTGCAGGGAAAAAAAAAAAAATTCCTTTCTTGTCACAGATCATTTGGCCATGAACATTTCAGTGTCTTTACTTTTCTCTGCGTCCAGTTTACTCCAACTCAGTGAAGCGGGCAAACATGGCCTTACGGACAGCGTCCTTGTAGGTGTCGGCTGCTGAGAGCTCATATGAGCTGCCTTTAATACCCAAGCCTGTGCCCTTGATCCTTAATGACGCCTGCGGGGAGAAGACAGACAGTTATTAGAGGAGATGGACTGGACAGAGGAGACCCTCAGGTAACAGTGCTAATTACTTTGTGAGTGAAAAAGAACACATTGACATGCACACTCCATCTGTTAGGAGGGAGCTAGGGAGATGAGAGCAACATTTTGAAGAAAACGTGCGGTTTTCTTATTACTGTTATAACCGGTTCCTCACCGAGATGGGAGCAGTGATGCCTTGCTGGTGGCGCCCCAGACCTTTGCCCTCCTGCCAGCCCATGGCCTGCAACATTTTGCTTCCGATATTATCACTTGTCAGGCCGTCTTTGGTGGGCTGTTCGTAGTTTCTTTTGGAGGCGGACGAAAGGTGATGACAATAACATTAAAGATGTTTCCACTTTTGTCAAGTAAAAAGACTAATCTGAAAATTCACAGTTTGCAGTGTGAGGTTAAACCATGACACTTACACTGCTGGGGATGGAGGTTGATAACATTTCTTTTTCAGGGCTGGGGGCTCAGGAACGCCATACTTCTCCCTTCTCTCTGCAGCTCTGTCTCTGTATTTCAGCTATTGAAATAAACACAAAACCTTGCTGACCATGTGCTCTTCTGAGAAATTATTTATGGGGAAAACCAGGTTTTTGAGCCAAATACCTCGGTTTCCTTCCTCTCCAGCTCCTCCAGCTCAGCTTCAGAAAGCCTTGACCTTCTCTGAATTTCCAAATTTTGCTAAAATAATTGAAAAGCAACTATAAATAGACAAATCACACGCAAACAATAATTTACACATGCAAGACAGTTAAACGTCGCTAGTATTCCTTCCATTTTGCTCTGAAGCTTTCTACAATGAACAGCAAGACCAAGATTTAAGGGCTTGAGACCGAGTCAAGACCAAAACCAAGATCAGACCAGTGCAGTTAAACTGAATTTGATAGTACAGGTTTGCCTGTGTTTCACTGACACTAATGAGACTATATAGGGGTGACATTACTGAATGTATTTCCCAATAAAAACTGGTTTTGTTTCGGTCTCAATACACCCCGGCTTTGGTCTTGTCTACAACACTACTGAACAGATGGCAACACCCAGACTATTCATAGCTCCTTGCAGATTAGACGCCTGCCGTCTTCCCCTTCTCACCTTGTGGAGGTCAGAGAGCTGCTGGTGACGCAGCAGAGCCTCTTTGGTGGGGAACTGCCGTCGACACAGCAGACACACCATCTTCTTCCAGTCTGTGATTTTTCCTTCCTCGTCCGGTGCTCGATATGAGCCGCCTTCCTCTGGGTCACTGTCCCCGTTGTAAGCAGCAACCATACCGCTCTGTGTCATGAAAGTGGATGAAGGTGGAGCGATGTTTGCTTTTATTAATGATTGTGTAGTGGGGGGAACAATACCAAAGGCATAAACAAACCTTAGCTGAAGTCTCCTGCTCTGTGATCCTGAACTGTTCGGTCACTAGAGACGACATCTCAAAGCCTCCTATTTGCTGCAAGGAAGCAGCAAATCTTATAAACATACAGTATCATACATATAAGCCATGTTATGTCACCATTATCCACAACACAAAGACTAGGCTGTCATTTTATGTTCACCATAACCAAATTTTACCATTATTTCTACTATTTCAAAGGCTGGCAATGATGTTGAAGGAAATCTGTTATGATATTCAAATATGCTTTACAAAGAAAAGAAAAGCACATTAAATTTTAATTAATAAAGAAATCAAAAGTACATCATGTTAGATTGTCAGTGTGTCTTTATGTGTGACATATCACACTTAGCCCTACTCATAACTTTTACACTACCTTCTTCTCAAAGAGGGAGAAAGCTGCATCAGCAGCTGCAGACTCTTTCTTGTCCTCCTCTCTGGGTGCTGTAAAGCCTTGGAAACTGCTTTTAAAACTTTCTTTTTGCTTGTTTAAGCTTTTTGCCCAGCGCTCCATGTCCTTTGCGATCTGAAATTTGTTTAACGGTTAGAAAATTGTTATTTCAATAAGATAAGAGATGTTAACAAGATGTTTTTTAGTAAAGGAGCTTCTACCTGCTGTGCAGACTTATTTTTGGGCTTGTCCTTTTTCTCTTTACTGCTTGTGGTCACCGTAGCTGAGGAACCCGCTGTTGTGTTAGCTGTGGACACTGTGTTTGCCGCCACAGGGACGTACGTCTGCTTCTCACTGTCCCAGTAGACATACTGCTGAGTCTCTGAGTTGTAGTAATACTATTGGTGGAAAGCATGCGAAAAACCGCATGAATGAACAGCTTTGAATAAATTAAATGCCAGTGATTCGGTGGGTGGCAGTATAATATGCACACAGTAAAACCACAGGGTACGTACTTGGCTGCTGGGATCATAGTACATGCTGGTCTGTGGATCATAATAGTAACCTGAAGACTCATCATACTGATAGGTGGAGGTGTCAGGGACAACTAGAGACACAGAAAGGGGTGGAGATGCCTTCTAAACCACAGATAACTGATCTACATTTGATCTGCTCATTCACATGCAGAGGGGGATATTCTGTAGCTAACTAATCTCACCCGTTGTGTTAGCAGCCGGGGTGGCACAAGCCATAGTTGCAACAGTAGAAGCAGCAGGTGTTTCCAGTGACGTGGTGCAAACGCTAGCAGCCTGCTGTACTGCATCAACTGACCTGGCTGGTTGTTGTGACTGAGAGGGAGCAGAAGAAAAATCACCAACTTTTGCATTTTCTGTACAACACTAAGATGTAAAATAAAAATGCACAGCTCTGCCTGCTGCACACAAATGCATTGCTGCTGTACTGCCTACCTGTGTGGCAGGCTGGCTGATGATGACTGGCTGGTAAACCTGAGGCGCCTGAGATATGACCACACCAGTGGCCGCAGGTATCAAAGTCTTAATTCCTGGAGCAGCTGTAGACAGCAATGATAAAGTGAACAATCTCAGTCTTTATAGAGAAAAGACCCAAACTATCTGCAAGTGATTGACACCTCTTCCTACCTCCAAGTAATCCATCTCCAATGATGGGAACCAATCCTTCAGGCTGCTGCCACACTTGATAATTCTGCCCCAACATCAGAAAGAGAGAAAAATGATGACAACTTCCTTGTTAAATTCATTGGCACAACAAAGTGGACTGTGAACTGACCTGTGTCTGCAGAGCATAACCCTCTGGAAGAGTGACGTGCTCAGAGGTGGCAAGTGAAGCTTGTTGTAACTGAAAGGATAAAACTGGTATGTGAGCAAAATCAGTGGCAATGACCAAGAACCCTAGTTGTATTTACATCTGAACCACTATTTTACAAATAAACTGGGGAATGCATTAACCCTTGAAAAAATATAAAAATGTTCACATTAAACTCAACTAAGAAATTTCTCTTAAATAACAATGAATCAGATATCAACAGAATTAACACCCCACTCTGCAGTTTCCTGGTGCTTACATTACTTTGATTCACCAGTCCTTATGTTGAAGTCTCTCTGGTCCTCATATAAAACTGTAGACAACCAAAAAACTACCACAAGCCAATTGTGCACTGCATGTCCAGGATGAAACAAAGGAGATTCTAAGTAAACCAGTCTCAAATATCAATGAAGAAAAGAGATGGTTGATAGTAATTTAAGGGCAACAAATTGAAAGTACTCTAAATAGAAATGAATGATGATACCTGGCTGGAGGACCACTGAGCAGCAGCAATAGCTGTGCTGGCAACAGAGAGCACACTGGCTCGGATCCCATCAAGCTGCGCTGAGTCTCTGGAGAGGATGGAGAGTGATTAGTTAAACCTTAATTCTGCAGCACTGGAGGGTGATAATGAGTCCCTTATTTGTTTTAACTATTCTTAAAGTTGAATACTGAGTATGCACAGAGGGCCAAGTGAGCAGCCTCCAGCAGAATGTGAAACGAAATGTTTGGATAACTGGCACAATTCTATTTCATTTCAGGTAGAAAACAACAACAACACATTTTAAAAATACACACCGCCACTCAAAGGTTTGAACACAACAAACTTTGGACTGATAGTGTGTGTATGTGTAACAATGCTGGGATAAAATGCCCCACACTATATTTTGTGCAATTGAAGCTAAAGATGAACTTGAGCAGCATGTGTATGTGATGACTCACTTCCTGGCGCTCTTGGCATAATCCACACCGATTGTTTTTCCATCCAGTTTTAGAGGTGGCTGCAAACTCTGGAGGATGGTGAGGAGCTGAGACGCCTCCTATACAGCAAGTGAAAATGTCACACGTGTGTACCCTCCCCCCCCAAAACAACACAGACTTACATAGTGACTACATGTTGACTACAAAATGAACATACCAAGAAAGATGAGAGTTGAACAAAGGCAAAGCCCCTATTCTGTCCTGTTTGTTTGTCTTTGATGAGGCGGACGTTGGTCATGGACAGGTTGGCATACGGTGCCAATATGTTCAAAATTCCATCAACGGTTGAAAGGGGGGCAATGTTCCTCAAAATGATTGCTGTTAACAACAGTAGTAATGACTCAATGCAGAATATATGTACTGGCAGAATGTAATACTTCAATATGGGGTAAGAAAAAGACTCACTGTCTCCATTGTAATCCCCTGGCTGTTGAGACTCTACATTTAAACCACTTACTGCAGGAGACTCTCCTTCTAACAATGACACAGTGACATACCATTAGTTAGTACAGGCCACGGACATAGTGCAGGACAAAGCTGAAGAAGAAAAATGATACTTTTGGTTTGCTGAAGCAGTAACTCACCAACTTTTGCTGCTCCACACCTGAAACACTTCAGCCTCTTCCGAAAGTTGTACAGACCACACTGTAATAAATCAAAGACGTCTTTTTTGTTATAAAAAGCAGAAAGACAAAACAAAACAAAACAAAAAACTAGGATCATATTGTAGTTAGACATAACACTCACAGCATTGCAAAGCCAGTTTTCAAACTTCTGCTTCCTGTTGCTGTAGTGCACTGGGATGCTTTTCCCCTTGATAACCAGCTTGTTCTGTGAAGTCAGAAGTCCCTAGTTATATCAAATTCTGACAATTTAAAACCAAAGAGGCAGGTGAGGCCCTGCTACTACCCCCACCCATTGAGTGAGAGCAT